CTTGATCATATGCTACCTCTTGAAATGGTTGAACATTAACCATTTCCTTTTGGTGCAGTGACTGTGTATTCCTTCCATCTTCTCTTGATGCTTTTTGCATCATTCAATAATTTGCCCAGAGAATCCTTCAATAATGAAAAAGGAGGTTTGAATTTTTTTTCTTCAGTTCCCCCCAGCTTGAGAAATGCTGTGTGTGTTCTTCCTTTTTGGTTTTCTGACTCTAGGTCTTTGCACATATTATTGTAATATTTGGCTTTATCTTCTCAAGGTGATCTTTGAAATTTTCTGTTCAGCTCTTGGACCTCCTCATTTCTTCCATTTGTTTAAGCATCTCTACGCTGGAGAACAAGTTTCAATGTCTCTTCTGACATCCGTTTTGACCTTTTCCTTCTTTCTTATCTTCTGAATGACTTTTTGCTTTCTTCATGTATGATGTTCTTGATATCATCCAACAACTCTTCTGGTCTTCAGTCCTTAGTGTTCAATGTATCAAATCTGTTCAGTTGATCTCTAAATTCTGGTGGGATATATTCAAGGTCATATTCCACCATTTCTACATTTGTAAAATATTTTCATAATCTTATAAAGTACTGTATGTTTTTGTAATGATTTTCTTGAAGCCATTTAAATTTTGTTAATTGAAGTCAGACCTCCCTCTCACAGTCTGTCTTTTATATGATATTGTTATTGTCATTTTCTGGGAAGTAATAACATTTTAATTTTTTTCTCCAACAATCCCAGTTTCCTTTATTAATAGTGTGGTATTAATTTTAGTTTACTGCCAAAGCTTCTTTGTTATTTATGAAAAGTGTTATTTTCCTAAAAATTTCCTCCCTGCATTTTTATTTTTTAATATATTTACTCCAAAATGTTGTCAATCATTCCAACTGCATAATTTGGATTGTCATTAGTGCTGATGTTTCATAAAGACTCTTTGCCAAAGTCAACTTAAAAAGATTACTATAGAAAAGCACTTTAAAATCAAAACTGTCAGAAGTTTCTAGCCCAAACAAGTTGTTTGTTTCTGATGCAGGAGACGACAAGACTATCCCCATGGTAATACTTAAACAAAATTCAGATTGTGTAAATAGTCATTTTGAAAATAAAAAGGAAAATAATTTATTTTTGATTTTTTTCTAGGACCTAAAGGAGTAATAAGTGATTGGAGAAAATTTAAATTAGAGAGTGAAGATAGTGATTTGATCCCACCTAGTAAGAAGGAGATTCTCAGGCAAATGTCTTCTCCTCAGAGTAGAGATGACAAAGACTCCAAAGAAAGATTCCACAGAAAGGTAAAGTAAAGAAAAATCAATACACTGTCTTCTCATATATTGTTGTTGTTGTTGTGATGTGCCATAGAGTCAGTTCCAACTCATAGAGATCCTGTACAGGGTTTCCAAGGCTGTAAATCTTTATGGGAGCAGAAAGCCTCATCTTTCTCCCATGGAACAGCTGGTAGTTTCCACCTGCTGACCGTGAGATTAGCAGCCCGATTCGTACCACTGTGCTATCAGAGCTCCTTCTCCTAATATATCGTTCTTGTTGTGAAGTGCCATTGAGTTGGTTCCAACCCATAGCGACTCTGTATAGGGTTCTAAGGAGCAGCTGGTGAGCTTGAACCGCCAACCTTGCAGTTCAAATGGCTTTGCAGTCTGGCGCATTAACCCTCCTCATATATATATGTTGTTGTTATGTGCCGTGGAGTCGGTTCCGACTCATAGCGACCCTGCACAGGGTTTCCGAGGCTGTTAATCTTTACGGGAGCAGAACGCCTTATCTTTCTCCCGTGGAGCAGCTGGTAGTTTCGAACTGCTGACCTTGCAGTTCGTAGCCCGATTCGTAACCACTATGCTACCAGAGTTCCTTTATTATATAGACATCATTAAATCATTATGCAAAGGCCAAGTCATTGTACAAAATAGGCATTATGTGAAAATAGAGGATGGTCACATCAGATCACAAAATGGAAAACAGCTACCTTGTTACATGAGTTCCAATTTACATCATTATAAAACTGTCAAACCACTGAAGTCTTGGTCTAGCCAAGGTGACACATAAACTTAAGCATAACAGCTAGCATTACTCTTGCCTTGCACCTTGGCATTCAGTACTGCCTGATGTATGTCACTAATGTGCAAAATAATAAGTAGATTATTTTACCATTGTGGTAAATGTAAAATGTCAGATAATGAGATAATCCATAAGTGAGGAGAAAGTATAGTGCGAGGAAGCTTCAAAAATTTTGTGGAAAATTTCCATTCTCTTTCCATGAACTTTTTGAAGCTCCCTCAAAAATAATTTACAACATGCTTTTCTCTCATACATATTTTTTTTTTTTAATATAAACCAAACCCACTGCTACTGAATCAATTCCAACTCATAGCAGCCCTATGGAGGATTTCTGAGGCTGCAGATCTTTACAGCAGAAGAAAACCTCCAGTCTATCCTGAGGAGTATTGATGGATTCAAACTGCTGACCTTGTGTTTAACAGCCTGGTGTGCGCCCCACTATACCATCAGGTCTTAGAAATATTATAAAATATAGATATATTACTAAAATATTGCAGTGTTATTTGTACTGACAAAAAATAAAATAAAAATGAAGTAAATGCCTATTAATGCATTCCTTACTAAGAAATACCTGGCAACTTGAGAAACAATGATCAGGAAACCCTATACAGGGTCGCTCTGAGTCAGCACTGATTCAATGGCAATTAACAACAACAATAGCACCATATAATGTGCAGTGGTCTGTAGGAGACACTAGTAGTTCCGTTCTCAACTACTGCTAGCCAAAAGATGGATGGTTTGAACCCACCCAAAGGCACTTTAGAAGGCAGGGCTGACAACTGCTTCCAAAAGGTGATGGCTTGAAAGCTCTATGGACCAGTTCTTCTCTTCACACATGAAGTCAGTAAGAGTCAGAATCAACTCAAAGGCAACTAGCAACAACAATATGTGTACATTTACATGTAAGGAGATCTGTTTAAAGGCAATCTTAAAGTGCTAGTGGAGATTACTTAGAGTATTAAATTCTCTGCTGTTTAGTTCATTCCAATTCATGGCGACCCCATGTAATACAGCATAGAACTGCTCTATAAGGTGTTACTTTGTCGAAGCAAATCACCAGCTCTTTCTCATTGGTGCCACTAGGTGGGTTTGAACCTCCCACCTTTACATTAGCAGCCACGAGGTGAAATTTCAGTATTTATTACTTCCTTCCTTGATTTTTTGGGGTAAGTTTCAATGTTAACATGACCATGAGTTATACAATAATGATATAAACCATAAAGTGCCTTTCATTGTGGGGACAACACTTAATAGCAACAATAACATACTGATTCTGAAAGGAGAATCTGTGCATCCAAAATAAGCTTTGGTTCAGGCTTCTGATTTTTGAGTCTAAGATCTTGTTTTTGAAGTTTTCCTTCCTTCACAGGCTTATTGTGTGATGTAGGTGAGACAATTAAATTTTTCCATCTGAGCAACTATAATAACTTTCTCCACCTGTTTCAAAGGGATGTGAAGAGAAGACACATGCGAAAGTGTTTTGAAAGCATGTTATATGGTATACAAATGTGAAGCATTAAATAATTTAAAATTTGCTAATAAGGTGGTTGTTGTCTGTTGCTGTCAAGTCGATTCTGACCCATGGTGACCCCATGTGTGCATAGGAGAATTACTTCATGGGAATTTCAAGGCTGTGACCTTTCACATCACCAGACCTGTTTTCTAAGATGACTATGAGAGGTTTCAAACTGCCAACCTTTCAGCTAGTAGTTGAGCATTCAACCATTTGTCCTATACATTTTTGTTGTTGTTAAATGTCGTCAAGTCAGCTCCAACTCATAGTGACCCTGTTTCAGGTTTCCAAGGAGCAGCTGGTTGATTTGAACCACCAACTTGTGGGGTTAGCAATTCAGTGATTATTTTCCAGTGCCACACCAGGACTCCTCTTAAAATTGCACTAAAGGTCTGCAGTTTGAATCCACCATCCTGGTAGAAGAGATTTGGTGATCCTAGCCTGTAAAGATTGCAGCGTAGGAATCCCAATGGGGCAGTTCTACTTTGGGTCGCTAGGAATTAAAATTGACCTGACTCTACATAACAACTACATATGTATGTTTAAGATCCCTAAGTGGCACAAAAGACAGGAGTCAGGCTGCTAACCTCAAGATCAGCAGTTCAAAACTACCAGGTGTTCTGCAGGAGAAAGATGAGACTTTTTGCTCCCATAAAGATTTACAGCCTCAGAAACCCTATACAGTATCACTATGAGTCGGAACCAACTCCACAGCACGTCATCACCACCACCTCCATAAATTAAAATGTTGGCAGTTTGAAAACACTCAGTTACACTGTAGTAGAAAAGCCTGACAACTTGCTTCCAAAAGTTCACAGCTTTGTAAACTCTACAGAGCAGTTCTATGCAGTAGAGTTAGAATCTACTTAATTACAACTCAACTTCTCACCTCTTTGGACAAAGTTTTACAGAAAAAGAATCGAATTACTAAGTTTTATCATTGTTATACAGGGTCGTTATGGGTCGGAAACGACTCGATGGCACATAACAACAACAACAATCATTATTTTACTCCTTCTCTTACTGTAAATGGCTTGGATTGTGCAACAGTGAACACCTTATGGTTCAGTTATATTCAGCAACTTTACGCATGCATGTAGTCATTCATTTAATCATGAGATAATTAGTAAGCCTCTACTATGTACCAGACACTATACCAAATGTTAAAGATATAGTGGTGAATGAGACAAACAAAACACCTGCTTTTTGTTGTTGTTGTTGTTTTTGAGGATTTGCTCGAATTTCTTTTTTGAGGCAGGGGATGTGCCATTCAGTATAGATCTCGGTACTGGACCATGCAGAACTTATGTTCACATGTGTATGCACGCGGACACAGGAGCGCGCTCTCTGCACAAGAGGGCGTTAGAAAGAGACTCATTTCAAGGATGAGTGATGATGTCCGCGGCTGTGGCCCCACATCTCTGAGTGCCAGGGTGCAGCTAAGTGCGGGGAGCCTGGGGAGCTGGGCTGGGAGCAGCCTCTGTCCCCTCCCTGACCTTGGCCAGCCCAGCCTCTGAGAGGTAGCTCCTCGGGAATGGGGCCTGAAGGCGCCAGTGATCCATGAAACCCCACTATGGGCCCTTTGCCAGGGCAGCGCTGTCAGAAGATTATCCTCCAGTCCAGATGGTCCCCACGCCCACTGCGCTGGTTCCTCACTTCCAGGTGCTTGTTCTGGACCTTCTCAAAGTGCTGCAAGAGCTCTGTGTAGTCAATGCTGGGAGCGTTTGCTCTCTGGGAGGTGGGGGCTGCCTTTAGTCTGTCCTCGGACTGCAGCAATTCACGGTTGGGCACACACTGGAGCCGGTATGAGAGCAGCTGGAAGGCGCTGCTCTGAGGCAGCAGCATGAGCAGGCCGTAGAGGGCCTTGATCAGGTAGGGGTTGTTCTTCACGTCCAACAGCTGCAGGCGCAGATATGTAAAGATGGGGCACTCGATCAGCTGCACCAGCTTGTCCACCTCTGTGAGAAAATCCTTCTGGATGAGGTCATAGGCATGCCGATAGTTCTAAGTGAGGAAGCAGAGGGACACCGTGGTGACTGGGTTGTGGCGTCAGGAGCGGTACAAGCAGCAGAAGAGGTTCTGGCTCTCCAGAGTCTTCAGGTCCTTGACTTGGTTGTGTAGCTGGAAGAGTTCCGTGGAGGTCAGCAGTGTGGTATTGAGGGTATGGACCATGGTGGAGGCAAATTTGAAGTCCTCCTCTTGAAGTAGGATGTCTGCCATCGAGTGGAAGATGTTCTCGGCATTTAGCAGGAGGCAGAGTTGCCTGATGATGAAGACACCTCTGGTCTCCAGGAGTTTCTGCTCCGAGCTGAACCTCTTGAGAAGGTTGACCGTGAACTTACAGAAGTAGGAGTTCATGGTAGGGGTGGAAGGAGAGTATTCTAAGCCTTTGGTGCCGGTAGTGTGCAGGAGGCTGGCCCTGTTGAGGGCAGGTATCTGGAGCTCAGAGTGGCTGATCCGAAGGTCAGGGCCATCTAGTGGGCCTTGGGAAAACTGTCATTAATAATTAAACAAGTAAATATATAACACAAGGTCAAGTAGAGTTTATTGCTAAAGAGAAAAATAAACCAGTGTAAAGACTAGAAAGTGTGAGGGTCTCTTAGGTAGGATAATCAATTAAGTTGACATTTGAACAAAGGTTTTATGAGGGAAAGGAAAAGCCATATCAAAAATGGGTGGAGAAACTATTAGGTAGGACAAAAGAACCAACACAAACATTTAGAGTTAAGAATGGGTTTGCCATGCTTATTCTGACTGAATAGTCTCTATCTAGTTATTTCATTTAATTCCAGATGAGCATTCAAGAACATGCTTTAATCCATCAAGAGAAAGAGGATGAAAATTGCCTTCATAAATACCGTAGACAGTGCATGCAGGATATGCACCAAAAGCTGAGTTTTGGGCCAAGATATGGGTTTGTCTATGAGCTGAAAACTGGAGAAGAATTCCTGGAAATCATTGAAAAGGAACAGAAGATCACCACAATTGTTGTTCACATTTATGAAGATGGCATCAAGGGCTGCCATGCTCTTAACAGTAGTTTAACATACCTGGCAACTGAGTACCCTATGGTCAAATTCTGTAAAATAAAAGCCTCTAATACAGGTGCTGGTGACCGCTTTGCCTCAGATGTACTCCCCACCTTGCTGGTCTACAAAGGTGGGGAGCTCCTAAGTAATTTCATTAGAGTTGCTGAAAAGTTTGCTGAGGAATTTTGTGCTGGAGATGTGGCGTCTTTCTTAAATGAATATGGGTTACTACCTGAAAGAGAGATACGTGGTCTCAAGCAGGACAATGTGGAAGATGAAGATATTGAATAAAGATTTATTATATCAACATGTCTTATTTCTTCTTTTACACATTGAATGTTGATTTAAGTAGTAGCCATATTCCTATAGGGAAGATCAAGTATAGCCATGTCTATTGTAATTTGGAAATCTTTTAAAATGACACTTAAATTGTATTAATATCATTTCTTAGTTATGTTTAACTGATATAATATTTTGCTACATAAACATTGTATTCTTCAACAATATTGTTAGTAGACAAACAGGATATGGAAAATGTGAGATTAAAAAAAAATTCGTTCATACAAGTGGTGTTAGATTTTTTTGTATTTTGATATTCTCTCAGTGCTATTATTTGGACATTTTTGAATTATATTATTAATTATAAGCTTGCTTGAATAAAATGAATAAAGTCTCATGAGAAAATACATGTTCTATATTATTTCTCAAGTATTATGTTTATTAAGGAACTAAAATCTTTATAAAACTAAAATTAGAAAAAAGTGATTATTCACACATCAAAAAGGTAATAATACATCATGATCAAGTGGGATTCATATCAGGAATGCAAGGATGGTTCAACATTAGAAAAAAAATCAATGTAATCCACCACATAAATAAGAAAAAAGAAAAGACCAAATGATCATATTGATTGATGCAGAAAAGGCATTTGACAAAATCCAACATCCATTCCTGATAAAAACACTCAACAAAGTTAGAATTGAAGGGAAATTCCTCAACATAATTAAGAGCGTATATACAAAACCAACACCCAACATTACTCTCAATGGAGAGAAACCAAAAGCCTTCCCTCTGCGAAGGGGAACCAGACAAAGATGCTCTTTGCCACCACTCCTATTCAACATTGTGCTAGAAGTCTTAGCAAGAGCTAAATGGTAAAGACAGAGAAATTAAAGGCATCCAAACTGGCAAAGAGGAAGTAAAACTCTATTTGCAGATGATATGATCTTATGCATAGAAAACCCAAACACTTAGTAATAAAAGCTACTAGACCTCACTGGAAGATTCAGCAAAATGTCAGGATATACGATCAACATACAAAAAGCAGTTGGATTCCTCTATACCAAAAACAACAGTGCTGAAAAGGACATTAGGAAAACAATACCACTTACAATAGCCACCCAAAGGATGAAATATCTAGGAATAAATGTAACTAGAGAAACAAAGGACCTATACAAAGAAAATGACAAAGCATTACTATAAGAAACCAAAAGAGACCTACAAAAATGGAAGACTGTATCATGCTCCTGGATAGGAGGACTTAACATTGTGAAAATGTCAATACTGCCCAAAGCAATTTCCATCTATAATGCAATCCCAGTCCAAATTCCAATGACATTCTACAAAGAGATGGGAAAAACAATTACAAAGTTTATATGGAAAGGAAAGAGACCCAGAATAAGCAAAACACTGCTTAAGAAAAAGAATAAGTTACCTCTCACTTCCCAACTGCAAAATGTATTACACAGCTACAGTGGTCAAAACAGCTTGGTACTGGTACAGTGAGAGATACATTGATCAATGGAACAGAATGGAGAATCCAGAAATTAACCCATCCACATACTGCCAACTGATTTTTGGAAAAGTGCCTAAATATATCACATAAGAAGGGGATAGTCTCTTTAACAGATGGTGCTGGCAGAACTGGAAAGCGGCATACAAAAGACTGATATACGACCTTTACCTCACACCTTATACAAAAACCAACTCAACATAGATTAGAGACCTAAATGTGAATCCCAAAATTATGAAGTCCATCAATGAAAAAAGAGGGACAAATGCGAGGACTGTAATTCAGGGAATACATAGACTACCAAACATTTTGAAAACTACACAAACTAAAGTTGACAAAATAGATGATTGGGACATATTAAAATTAAAAACTTATGTGCATCAAAATACTTCACCCGAAGAGTAAAAAGGGAACCCACAGAATGGGAAAAAAATATTTTGCAATGATACATCAGACAAGGGACTCATTTCTAAAATATGTAGGAAACTACAACACCTCTACAAGGAAAAGACAAATAACCCAACTAAAAAATGGGCACAAGACATGAACAGACACTTCACCAAGGAGGAGATCTGGCAGCCAACAAACGTATAAAGAAATGTTCACGATCGCTACCCATTAGAGACATGCAAATCAAAACAACAATGAGATATCATCTCACACCAGCAATAACAGCAAAGATCAAAAAAGAGGGCAATAAATGCTTGTGAGGATATGGAGACACTGGGACGCTCCTGCATTGCTGTATTGCAAAATGGTCCAGCCTCTCTGGAAAGCAATATAGCACTTCCTCAGAAGGTTGGAAATATAAATAGCTTATAATCCAGAGATTCCTCTACTTGGTATTTACCCACAAGAAAAATGAGCCATAAAATGAGTAGATATATGAACACCAATGTTCATAGCAGCACTATTTACAATAGCAAAAAAGATGGAGACAGCCTAAGTGTCCATGAATGGAAGAATGGATAAACAAACTGTGGTACGTACCCACAATGGAATATTATGTTAACTTGAAAAACAACAAGGAAGCTGTAAGATATCACATAACATGATAAACCTTGAGGACATTATGTTGAGTGAAATCAGTCGGTCACAAAAGGAGAAATTGCATAGGACCACCACTGTGAAAGACTAAGAAAAAGAACCCATACTAAAGGGAGTGGGGAGTCCTTTGCTGGTTATGGGGATGCGGGGAATGAGTTGAGGGGAGGGAAGGAAAGGTGGAACACAGGGTAGGGAATAAACACAGGATAGTTTTGGTGCTAGGGAGGGGGGCAATACTCAAGAATGGTGAGAGGAAAGGAAGAACAAGGCAGATGGGAAAACAACTAGGAAGTTTTGCATGGGCTAAGTGAGACAAAGGTAAATAATGATGTGTACACAACCTTGGAACAACAAGGCTCTGGGATACAGGGATTGAGACATAGCTGGAATGGGCAAAAGAGGAGAAATAATGTTAAGATGCTTAGCTGTCTTTTGAATCTTGGTTTCCCTGATATATCATTATAAAATAGACACTTGAGGTGGATATGAAGGAATAGCCAGAAAGGAATAGCCAGACATACCAGAAAGCTTGTAAATCTGTCTTCTGCCTATAACTGATTGGAATCCCTAAAATGGGGCTACAACGTGTTCAGTGAAAGAGGCTTCCTGCAGAGCCTCTGCATTACATAAGACTATAGGTAGAATCCTGAACTCCTTCCAGAATCTTATGAAGTGGGAAATTTCCACTGGAAAGGATAAGCAGATCAGCCTGGAGTGGCTGGAAGAACAGAAGATACTTCTTGAAAGAAAGACTGACAGGAAAAATACAAAACAATAATAGCAGTCGGCTGACAACTACAAGAACAAGCAAGTTACTTGCCCAGAAGACATCAAGGCAAGCAATTGGGTCCCCTCAGGGCAAACCCCCTGCAAAGACTAAACCTCAATGGGAATACACAAGCAGACATGCACTCTGATTGGTGACTACGATCTTCACCATAAGGGGAAGTGACGGAAAAACAGCAAGGTAAAACCTGGTTTGCCAGCAGTTTGATAAGAGCTGGGGACTCTTGGGCCCAGAGTCAGTGACATAGCCACAGTGGACTAGAGTGGAGAGTGAAGCGTCCAGCTGAAAGAAGAGAGGGCATATGCACAAGAACACCCACACTTGCAGATAATATCCACTTGACCAGTTTCAATGACTGGATGATCAGAGCTCAACTAGGAGAAGAAAGAAGAGGAAAAAAGGAGTAATATGATACAATTTGATGAACTCGATCTATAGCTATGGATGCAGTAGCTCAAAAGAGGGAACAAATCTTTACAGTGAGGATCATTCCTACCCCCTCGCAACACAGAGTAGACAGGGATGGGCAACTTGGACATTGGCTAGCCAAAATGGAGGTGTTTCAAAGGCAAGAAGTGACTGGCTTACAAGCTTTCAAGAGGGAGCCTAGATCCAGAGGTTGTTGAGGAAGGTAGAATCTCTACTTAGTAGTATCCAATCTGTCTAGGCAGGGCTGATGAAAGGGGGTGGGGATAGGTCTCTTGTGGTACAATTGTGAATAATTGTTATCTGTACTGATTGTGAAGGTTGGAAATGTAAAGGCAGACATTTTGTAGCAAAAGGAGGGGAGTGATTGACTTTGCAGTCTAGGACTGGAGGTCCCTGGGACCATCAAGTAAGAAGAGCAGAGTGTGGGACCCTACCCAGAGCAACAGTGACGCCAGAGATGGAGGCAGAGACAACGAACAACATGGAGAGATGGAGTGGCTGAGGACTCTAGATCCAGAGATGGAGAGGGGCTGTGTGCTGACGTTCAGGGGGCATGCTTGCAGGGTATACCCTTTGGTTGGTTGATGATGCATGGAGGGGATTGTAACCACCACAATGAAACAATATATGCTAGGATGAATGTAAAGCTAATGTTCTCCCATGTAAACTATCACATAACTCACCAAAAAAATTTTAAAGAAAAAAAGAAAATGGACATGAACAGACAATTCACCAAAGATGGCATTCAGGCTGCCTACAAACATGTGAAGAAATGTTTGTGACCAGTAGCCATTGTTGCTCTTTGTTGTTAAGTACCACAGAATCAGTTCTGACTCATAACAACCCTATATAGGGTTTCTAAGGCTTAAATCTTCTCGGGAACAGAAAGTCTCATCACTCCCTCCTCCCCCCACCCACCCCCCAGAGTGGCTGACAGGCTTGAATCATGGACCTTGTAGTTCACAGTCCAGTGAACTTATTGTGGCTTATGGAGCCACTATACTCCCTCATTAGCCATTGTTGTTGTTGTTGTCAGGTGCCATCGAGTCGGAACCGACTCATAGCGACCCCTTGCACAGCAGAACAAAACAATGTCCGATCCTGGGCCAACCTCACTACAGCTGCCACACTTGAGTCCATCAATGATGCCACCTGGCCAATCCATCTCG